CTCTGCTATAATCGAAACTTGTCGTCTCGAGTCGAGCTGGACTTTCGACAGGTTGAACGAAGCTCCAATGGGCATTCAGCTGCTTCAACATTGTCTATTATAAGAGGGACAACACCTAGCCCCAGTTACAGTAGCGCCGTTCGTCTCCCTGCGCGCGATTGTCGAGGCTATAGTCGCGTTCGATGTTTTACCTCCTCAAGGACGATTTTTTTAAAGTTGGAAAAAAGGGATGAAATTTTGTGTGTGTAATAGTTGTGTGTTGGTCGTTGTAGATTTGTAGTAATTGAACGTTTTCCTTGGTAAAAAATTATGCGATTACTAATTACAAATAAATATTCAAATTTTCCCAATCACAAATATTGAAAGTGAAGATATAAATAATGTAGGATCTGAGGTAAGAAGGAGTGAGTATGAAAGACAAGAACGAAGAGAAAAAGGGGTTGTAAGAGGGAACGTCTCGTCAGAAAGCAAAGACCACTTGAATAAAATCCCTACGATAAGTATTCCGACTTTTATCTTACAGCCATTGTAAGTGTTGCAGCCATTCATCCACTAACTTCACAAACAGGGTCGTTGCATCGTTTCTCCGAGAGCACGCGATACGAGTTGGAATTTTTGAAATTTTGAATAGTCACTGACTGATCGTACTCGCGTGAAAGTAAGTTTCAGTTATATTCGTTCCGAAACAAGCACCCTGCCGCGGCATAAGTCTTCGTGATAAAGAACAAGCGCATAACGCACACGGAAGAATAATCTAAGGCGGGCAGCTGCGCTCGCTGCAAACATACCCTCCAAGGAGCAATAGTCGCGGAAGACAAAGTTACAGGGACAAAGATAAACGCGGGAATGATAGATAGACCGATCTTTCCTCTGGATTCAGGCACCCTGCGCCTCGAATCCTCAGGGAAATTTTTCCGATGAAAAGGAGAAATGAAAAAGTGGCGCGGAACTAAGTCGGAAATCAATTCGAAGGAATTCCTCAACGATAATAAATATATCAACCCGTCGTAAAGGTACGAAAGGAAGAGGGATTATCGCAGGAACGAGGGTTTCGTGTGAATGTTTACAGCGGGTGACTGATTTTCAAAAATTCGAGAAGAATATTTACGGTGTTTCCTTTTGCAAATCAAAATATAATGTAATATACTTTCTGAATTAATCTTAATATTTCCTACATTATAATGAAAAAAAGAATTGTATAGTGCATGGTGACCTTGGGTTCACGATTATCCGAGGTGATAAAAAACATTTTGATAATGTAAAATTGTACATGTATGTAGGTTTAATGTTTTCTATGATTTTTCAATTTTTTCATTTTATTTAAGTTCAAAGGTTAAACGGGACTCGGACAACCGAGACTCCGCTGTATTTGTCAAAATTTTTACTATCGTTACACGATGTATATTGGTCATTTAACACAGATGAATTTTGGTTAACAACTATTTTCGAAAATATTAGAGAAATCACGCGACATATCAAAGTGAACACCCGGTATATCATGGAAGATGCGTGAGCGAGTTATTAGTTGGAGTAGTTGAGCCCAGCATTGTGTTACTTGAGTTGAGCTATATATACCGGGTGTACCATGTGATGGAAACCAGGTCAGACAGAAGGAACATTTATACGAACTTTTTTATTATTTCTGCATACCGAATCCATCGCTAAATTTACGTCCACATATTGTAGTACACCTTGTACATCATCTTGAACCTTTAAGGAACTCTCTTAACCCTCTATCAGCAATCTGGGTCACCGATGACCCAAGGCAAATTTCACTCTCGCATATTTTTCAGAATAATTGTTCTTTCTATTGAAAAAAGTTAAACATTGCAACTCTGACTTAACGAACAATTGCACAATTTAGTAGAAACTTTGGAGAGTACTCCAGAATTTTTTCAGATTTTTTGAAATCTTCGAACAGTAAAAAAGTTAGATTTGAACACAAACGATCCAATTGCCCAAATACGTTAACATATTAAACTCGAGAGTATGTATTATTAAGAAAAATTAATTTAAATTCAAACTTTCTTCTTAATTTGTAACACCGATGATCAATCCACATTAGCTTTTCTAATAACAGACACCCAGATCAGCAAAAAAATCACAAGTCAATCTTGCTACATCGCATAAATTACCGCAAGTGTTGAAAACAATTGTGAAAACGTGAAAGAACGGTAGAAATCCGTGTTCGGCTACCGAGCCGATACGTCAGCGGGAAGCCATGAAAAGGAGGGATGAAAAGGCGGCCGGTGCGAAGATTCGAGGGGTGTTTAATGAAATTTACGACTCATAAATTCACGAAAGCAACGACGGCCGTCCAATGGGGCGCAATTCGCCTCCCGTAAAAGCCGACGTACGACTTAATACAACGAACGAGGCGAGGCGACGCCGATAACGTCGCGCATTCGTCGACGTTTCTCGGAGTGACGTAACCCAACGACAGTGCAACGCTAGAGATGGCCTGAAAACCGAGCGTCCAATGGCCAGCCGCGTCCCCTTTGCCCCGTGGCGAGCTTTATCTTTATCTTTCGAAGATTCTGGGCCTCGAGTGCGTTGAAACATTCAACTCTTTCTTGCCTCCTCGGACACAGATTCACCGCTTTCCCTTGGAATTCCCTCGAGGACACACAACGGTCTCTTCTTTCTCCAGTTTCCTTGAGAATTCCAGATGGTCGAGGAACGAGACGAAAAAGAGACGATATCGGGTGGTTGAATTTGAATGTCGAATCTTGAGACAATTGGAGAAAAAACAAATGTCGACATTTAGAAGTTTTTTTTCTTCAACCTCTCGTACGAGCAAGATTGTCCAAGTTGGAGGAAACGAAGGGAGTATTCAAGCGTCCGGAAGTTCGCGAGGAGCGAGCTGATTTTTTGGAAGTTACGAACTCGCGGAGGTGGATCGAAGTATCGAAAATTTTCCAGAACTTATTGAAAAACTTCGAATCGATACACCCGTTGTATCAATTGTTCGGTAAAGTTATCTGATATCTCGTCCTTTCAATTTCGTACACGTTGCAACTGATTATCCGTGGGAATCGAGGATATCTGGTAGGAAAGTATTCCAGGAGAAAACATGAAAATTCTTTTCGATCAACGAAATCGAGTAAACAGAGGCGAGTTACGATCGTTGGATAGAAATTCCAACGTTTCTTCCCGCAGCGACCAAGTTTCTAACTTCTCGAAAGAACAATCGTAATGCAAACATCGTAGGGGAAAAAGCGGCGTGGAATCAGACTGCGGTGGTTCGAGAGACTGTTTTGAAAGAAAGCGAGCGCGAGACGTTATCGTTCGCAATGGTAGGAAAATAAAAAGGAACCGATGGACGAGGTAGACTGGAAATTCGAGAGAATAGAGAACGAGAGAGAGAGAGAGAGAGAGAGAGAGAGGGGGAAGCGGGTTCCTCAATCGTTCGTGGGAGTCAACGACACCGGGCCGAGAAACGTTTCGACGGCCTTAATAGGATGACGCCTACTCAAAAACTTCTCGTGATATAAGAATCTAATTACCGGCCGGAGCCACTGGCAGGATATAAATTTCGCGCGCGAACAATTTCACAAGTTCGAGGATTCGAAAAATCGAGTAAAAGAGTCCTGGCGGTGGTGTTCGATGAGCTGAGAGAACGAACAGTTGAACAGAGATGGGAATAATTGAAAAGTTGGAAAATTAGAGTAACCTAAATGACTGGATAATTCACGATAATTTCAATGATCCCCAAAAATTTAAAGGTTGCTTGAAAACGCGCCTTTAAGTGGAAACAGAAATTGGTATATCTCGCTAATATTCAATTTGCCAACTTTATCTATGTGTTTCTTGAAAAGTGATTTTTTTCACCAAAGTAACCTCTCATCTCGCCGTAAGAATTGTTAAAATGAAAAGAGATAACATTTGAATCTCATTTCCAACCAAAATACACGTATACCGTTTCAACGAAAATATGGCCGCTCAAAGACCGAGTTACATTTGCTTGAATTTGAAACGTGCGAGGGATCTGGCCAGTGCTTTTGTGCTTATTCACGACGCACAGTTTCCTACAATAATATGTTCCGAAAAATGCCGGGTAAAAACGTGTTTACATTAAAGGCCGGCAGGAGGAGCGGGGCATGCCGGGACGCGCCGAAAATACATCATCCGAGTGTGCATGGCGCGCACAGCATTTCGCTGCAGTTCCATATTTTAAGACGCGTCACGGGAAGTGCATAAAAACGCGGCGCAAATATATACACAGACGCATACAGAGAGGGAGGCGGAGTGCAACGGCGTGTTTCGGCCCCTGTTGAACGCTTACCACGTTATATCAGCGACAGCGGACGGGGAAACCGGCGACGAACGTTGAAATACGTGGGACGCGTATCTCGTATGACGCGACCGATGACACAACGCAATTGCAACGCCGGCTGTCACTGTCGCGTTTATTAAGTCACACTTCGCGTTGGCTCAACGAAGCGGTAGATTTCTTTGAAACACAGGCCCTGCTCGCGTCAACGACCCTCGGATAGGTTTGCAACCGTGAGCTTTAACGAGATACAAAGAGAGGGTACAACGCGGTTTTCGTATGCAACAGAACCACGACGACGTAGAAAACCCGGGACGAATATACACAGGGGTCACACGCACGACTGGCACACATTCAACGTTCGATCCGTAGCTTTACACGCTTGTGTCTCTTGCTCCTCGTTTGACCGTCGAAGGAACTCGTGACTTCGTGCCCTCGTTCGTGACTCGTTCGTTCGTCAACCGAATCGAAACTAGTTAATCCATCTCCCCCCAGAGCACACCTCCCGCGTCGCACTTTATATTTTCGTCGGAGAATTTCGTTGAAACACCGGTGTGTTTGTTCTACTTGTTTTCGTGTCTCGTAGAGGACAACTAACGTACGAAGTAACGAACCGAGAAGGTCAAATTCGATAGGTCGTCGCGTAAAGAAACAGTCGATATCGGATTTGAAATGGTAATACGGTCGAAGGGCAAGCCGTAACACATGAATTGAGATGCTGACTCACCGGTGTCTGCTTATCCAACGATCCTCGTGCCTGTCACGTTGCACGGCCCATTCGAATATTCCAAGCACAGTTCCTTGCCACCAGTTCGAAACGTCGAGGAAACGTTCGTACAACGACGAGAAGAACGTAACGCGTGGTAACACTGAACAAAGCACACAAGAAACTCCGAGTGATAACCACGCGGTTCGTGGCGTGCGTCTCGACGACCGAACAAAAACGACAAGAATGTTTTAGCGACCTGAACGGCACGAGATCCGACAGCCGACTGACTTCACGCGGATGCTGCGGCGAGCGTGTTGCCACGCGTCCCCTGCCACACGTCGCGCACATCCCCACCATTGCCTACTCTCCGTCTCCCACGCTCCCGCTGCTACGCCGTTAGCGCTGTCTCCTTCTAGGATTCTTGTTTCTGCACGTGCGAGCAGCAGTTTGACTCCAAGTCGCTTGAATTTTATCAAACACGAGAATTCACTGTTAACTGAATTCGAACAATTACCTGCTCCCAATAATCGTTCAGAGATCGTGCAATTTGTTCGTTTATCGGAAAACTTGAAGGTTAGGTTGCTCCGAACAGACTCGAGAGGGTTATCGGGTTAAACACTTTCTTAACCTACTATGTGCGCGTATCTTCTCATCTCCTTAGGGCGGTATTTTCATCGCACACACGAAATCCAAATAAAAAACCAAGTGATATAAAAGGAAACACACTTCTTCGAAGATATCCCGCTCTCCGATATCCGTGAAAGAAGATACAACGGTAAGTCGAAGTTTTCACCTTCGAGATCGTTCCACCGCGAATTCTCGCCTCGCGAAATCGAACTGAACAATCGATGGGAAGTTCTCGAGCGGTCGCACGTGTTCCCCTCGTACCGGTATCTCGCGTTAGCCGAAGCTTTTACCCGTTTTCGTCAGTTTCTTTTATCTACTCGTGTTTTTTCATCTCGCGCCACGTCCGCCATTGTATCCTTCTCACTCTCACACGACCCCACCGCCCTCTGTTCACCTTCCACCACCATGGTCTGCTTCGTTTTTCTCCCGCGGACACCCTTCGCGTCGCGTCTTCTTCTTTGCCAACCGTTCGGCTCATTTCACCCGCGCTTCCCGCGCCGCCTCATTTTCCTCGTAATCGTTTCACTTTTTTCACCCCCTCTACCCGGACCCATAATACTTTCCTCCGCGTTTTGCTTTTCCATGCACCCTCGTAAACGTCTCTGTTACCGATTCGTTTCATTTCACCAGCGCGCGCCTTTCGTTCTCCTGCTTCCCCCACTCCTTCGCGACTTCTCGCGTCTCTCTCGCACTCACCAGAGTCTCTAGCGCAGCGTCTTCGTCACTCTCGTCGCGTATACGACGGTGTGCATTTACACTCGTGCCAGAGACGTTACGTTCGCGTCGTTGCATTAGCATAGAACCCTCCGCGTCTTTCCAAGTATCAAAAATTCCACTTGTAACCACGTTCGGAGGAAGCAGGCCAACAGAGTCGCGGTTTTAACAGTAGAGTTGCCTCGCTCGTTCTGTTTTTGTCACCTTTCTCGTTTTTCATCTCGTTCCGCGTATGCAGCGAAACCCGGGGACTTTTAACCCGTGCTCCTTTGACGGATCTAGTTATTTTTTTTTTTAATTATGCTAGTGAAAATCGTAAGTAGAGCTTGAGAAGTTCAGTTTGAAATTGCGTTTCGAGGGAGAATTATTTAAATACTGCTTCGGCTGTCCCCGACGAGGTTAAATAACGAACGTCCGCGCGTAATTATCGGTCGCGTGGCGTCGACTACGGAAAAACTGCGTTGCTTACCGGATTACGCGGGGCTCCTCCGTTCATCCGGCTCGATAAAATCGCAAATACACGAACGCGGTGCGCGCCAGAGAAAACTGCGGGGATTAACGGGAGCAACGGGAAAGATTAGCAACAAAGAGACCCCTTTGTCAGGGACTTCCCCGCTAAGCGATATTTTCTCTCCCCGTTTCTTTTCTCGTCTCGCTTTTTCTACCGGCTGCTCGCTAGTTCCTCGTCCACGCTCTTGCTTCTCCGCGTACAGACTCTTTCGTTCTTGCTGGATGACGTTGTTCGAATAAACTCGGTGTGTATTGGAAAATGGGGAAGAAAATTTGTGTAGATGTAGGTGTTGAATTTATGTAGATTTTTTTTTTAATTTTTTATTTTTTGAGAAACAAGTTCGCGGATGTTTAAGTATTCTTGAATGTAATGGCGAACATCTCGACCAGCTGTTGTAAAAGAAACTTTTCATAAAGTTAAAGAGATTTGGTTAGAAAGTTATGCGAGACTTTTACCGACTCAAGTTTAAGCTTCAATTATTTTGAGATTATTCAGAGCTATTTTAGCAATTCATGCGGTATATGGGACAATAAATTCTTCTTCAACGATGTACGCAGGAAGCTTGACTTTTTAATCAGGGTTTCGAAGCTCTCGCGATCTGAACTGAATTTTTAATCGAATTGTTTATTGGTAATGGTAAACCATTGGACAAGGCTCAAACGTGGAAGACTCGATTGATTATTTTTTAAGTAGCATAGCGGATAATTTAACTCTGGGTTAATTTAGGGAAATGTAACAAATTCAACGCCACAATTTTCAGCGTTATTTTTACAACTGCAAAAGTAATTCGAAAACTCGATTATCCTTCGATCCATCGATGAAATTTCAATGGTTTGAGGCTCTAAAGCGATACAAAACAATTCCAAATCCTCCAAATTTCCAAAATTCACTACGCTAATTTAGGATTAAAAAAATACACCAATATTTGTCTCGACTTTTTAATAATCACAGAAAAACAACGAAAGATTAAAATTACAATTTTTTCAAACAGCTCACACTTCTTCGACAACAACAAACCCCAACTTCAAACATTCGCACATTTTATCGAAAAAGTTCTATGGAAAATAGTGGCGAACAGAGCATCGAAACCAGTCGCATAAACAGTCGAAGCGGAGTCGGTGCACGCAGCGATCGTCGCATAATGAAACATCCTGTAGACCGCGTTTATATGTATGCACCGGCTCGCGGAAACTTTTCGGTTTCGTCTGCATTTTCCCCCGGCAGGTGGTAAGGAAGGCGCCGCGGCTGGAAAGACTTTCGCGAACTCGTAAGAAATTAAAGTTTCTTCGCGAAACTCTGCCGCAAGTCGTTCTCCAGCGTCGTCCTCGTCGTTGCAGACTCCTCCTCCTCCTTCTCCTTCTTCTCTTCTTCACGGTGCGTCGCGGTCTTCTTCGTGGCTGCCGGAAGTCCGAGAACCGCGGCGACGATATTGCAGGCGAAATAAATCGACCGAGCCTGCGTATGTATGCGCCGGCTGAGCGAAATTTTTGCACGTTTCCGCTCGAGGAAACTTAACCGGTGACTCTGCTGCTTGGTCCAGTGGAAATTCGAGAAAGTTCGACTATCCTTATCCACCGGTGACCGATGAGAAACGACGATGGAAATTGTGGAAGAGTTGGAGGAATCTCGAATGGACAGAGATTTGTTCGAGCTGGTTTTTTGGGGTGTGTTTTTGTTGGAAGGATCGAGTGATTGGTGTAAAACGACACGTGGTGTTAATAGGTTGTTTCGTTCAAAATAAGAGTAATCTCGCTCTCGGACCGAATTTCGTCCGTTCTGCGCATAGACAGAGAGCGTAGCAGAGGGTAAGACGGAGAAAAGCGTAGGCGTTCTAGCCCTGCCATGCGCGAAGCGAGGTTACTCTTATTTTGAACGATGTATAGCAACTGTGGAAATGCGTGCGATCTAGTAAATAGGCAATGTACTATTGAATGGAAGTGTGTAAACTTTTGCAGCGGTTCTGAGGTGAGAACTGACTGTTTTTGGTTCCTTAGAATCCTCGGGCCAGCACTGGGTGCAACAAAACAGGTCAAAAGACACCTTCCCTGCTTATGCGCCGAGAGACTCCGTTGATTCTATCTTTTTTCTTTTCTTCCGTTCTATTTAGAACTCAACATTATTACATTAAAATGAAATTAATACAACGAACCACTCTGTTCTATAACGTTCATTAGGAAAATGTGTAATAAAGATGAATCGGTAAGAAAAGTTGTCAGAAATGTTCTATATTTATGTATAAACTAACTGGAAGTTCCGGAGTTTCGGCTTTAGGTACCCAAAAACGGTGTCTCGACGGGTTAACGCTGAATTTCAACAATTTTGTCGGTAAGAATGATACCAGCAGTACGTATGCTAGTGTTTAATCTTTGAACGACGGATGCCGGGTCACTTCTGACCCAGCCTTCGGTAATCTCCTTTTTCGACCGATTTTCGAAACAGAATCACGACTCTCCTTTCGTTCGTTACTTCAGCCATGATATACGAATATAATTTTAAACAATACAAGCCCTAGTAAAGTAAAATGTTGGATTATTACTAATAACAATGCGGCAGCCAGTAAGCAAAAATGAATTGCGTTATACATATGAGAAACGCTGCTAGTGAAAATAATATAATAGACCAGATATCATCGGACCCATAGGCCCGTAACTGTTTATACCTAAGGGACCTGGGTAAAAGGCTGACGCTGTCCTGGTCTCTTTTTCTCAAGTGGACAACAGACTTTCTGTCGTGCCCTTACGAGTTTTTCACTTCGACTGCGATTTTCTAAGCGTTAAGACGTCCTTCCGCGCCAAAGAAACTAAAATACGTTTAAGAGAATTCACAGTGAACACCATTTATTTAACCCATCAATCCAATATAAAAAGATCTGGTTTCGCTTGCCTACGAAGAAGATTTCAGTATTGGGTCACATTTGACCCAGCATCCGTCGTGCGTAAATTATGAAATATGCGCTGGAATTATTTACGAATGTATTCACACGTGGATGAATCATTTATGAATGAGAACGTGGTTGAGGTAGGCGGGCTAAAGGCAATAGAGGAGCTTAACGAAGCTTCGTTTGCCGGATGAAATTAAAGGTGCAGTGAACTAATCTTTCTGAATCTACCAACCGTAAAAGTTTAACCGTCGTAGTCCCCGCGATATTTTCCTTCGGATCTCTCGAAACTCGTTTCTCCGTTAACAAAGTCTAAACAAGAAATTTATCGCTCTCGTTTCTCCAAACGCACGAGATTCTCGTCGCGTCATTAGTTCAACTAACAAAGAGTCATCGATAATTTCGCCAGGCGTTGTCCCCTTTGAAGACGCAATACGGAGCGGGAACACAGTTTCCCAGAGAGAGAGAGAGAGGAAAGGCCGCCTCTATCTTCGCCTGTTTCCCTTTGAGCGGGTTGAATCGAGTGACACAGAATAAAA